GGCGGGGGGGCGGGCTTAGGGCGGGGCGGGGCCCGGCAGGGGTGTGGTCGCGCTGCTCCGCCCCCGCGCCGCTGATTGGCTGCCACGGCCGTGACGCGTGTGACGTTTCGAGGGGGCGGGGCCGCGGCGATGGCGGCGGCGGCGGCGGGTGCGGAACGGGGAGCGGGGAACCGGGAACGGGGCGGGGGCGCGGGACCCCCGGGACGAGACCCCCCGCCCTGCGACCCCTGACCTGTGACCCCCGGCAGGCCCGGCGCGGCGGAGGCGGCCGGAGCGGGGGGAGGCGGCGGCGGGGCCACCCCCAGGTCCCCCCTGCTCCTCCGGGACCCCCGGGACCGGCCCCGGGCTGGCGCGGCGGCTGCTCGGGTTCGAACTGCGGGACTTGACGCGGTGGCACCGCTTCGTCCGGCTGATGCACCGGCCGCAGGACCCCGCGGCGCTCGGAGCCTTCCGCGCCGCCTTCGGTCAGCGGGGACCGGGGGGACCGGAGGTCTCCGGGGCTGCGGGGCAACGAAGGGACCGAGAGAGCTCCGGGGTTGGGAGGAGCGGGGGGGCTCCGGGTGGCCGCCCGGGGCACTGGAACTCGGGGGGCCGCTGAGGGGACGGGGAGAGTGGGGCTGGGGAGTACCGGGGGGACTCCGGGGGTACCGGGACCAGGGGGGACCAGGGATGGCCGGAGGTGCTTTGGGGGGACAAGGAGATTGGGGGCTGGAGGGACCAAGGGGCTCTGGGGGGGGACAGGGACTGCGGGGCTCGGGAGGACCCGGGGGGGGCTCCGGGTCCGGGATCACCGGGGGGACAGGGAGGGCAGGGGCCGGGGGAAGACTGGGAGAGCCTCACGGAAACGGAGGCTGGGAGGAACGGGGGGCGCTCCGGGAGGGCTCCGGGGGGACTCTGGGGGGCAGAGAGGCCGGGCCTGGGGGGGCTCAGGGGATCCAGGGGCTCGGGGGGGCTCAGGGGCTTTGGGAGAGGGACAGCTGGGATCCGGGGGGTCCCTGCTGTCCGAGGGGGATGGAGGCGGCTGGGCAGTAACGCGTCAGCACCGGAGCAAAGGTTGGGCAGCGGTTTGGGGCTGGAGGGGGGTCAGTGCCCGCCCGGACGGGGGTCACTGACCCCCCCCGCCCCCCAGGGCTGCTGATGGCGCTGGACGTGCCGCAGGAGCGGGGGCTGGGCCACCTGGACCAGCGGTACCTGGACGGGCTCGAGGTTTGTCGCTTCCCCCTCCTGCCCTTCCTGCAGCCCCTGCCCCTCGACTGGATGTACCTGCTCTACACCGTCATGTTCCTGGGTACGGGCTGGGAGGGATGGGGAGGGGCACCGGGCAGGGGATGGCACTGGGGCAGAAATGGGGGTGGGAGGGGGACGGGTACCGGGGTGAGAATGGGCACTGGGATGGACTGGAACAGGTGCTGGGATGGACTGGGAGAGGAATTTGGGGAAGATGGGGATACAGAAGGGGACAAACAGGGGTGGTACTGGGCAGAAAGGGGGGTAGGATGGGGACAGGAGCCACAGTGGGGAGGGGCACTGGAGTGGGAATGGCACTGGGACTGGGAGGGGAGCTAGGGGAGGGTGGGGACACAGAGCCCCACCCCTGTGGGGACAGGTGAGGGGGTGGCACTGGGACAGTGTCTGGACCAAGGCACTGAGATGGGCACTGGGACAGAAATGAGGGTGGGATGGGGACAGGAACCATGGTAGGGACTGGCACTGGGGTGGGAATGGGCACTGTGACTGTGATGGACTGCGAGGGGAGCTCGGGAAGTCTGGGGACAGGCAGAGGGGGTGGCACCAAGAGGGTTCCCAGGGGGACACAGAATGTGGGGTGTGTCCCCAGATGCAGGGGCACTGGGCATCGTGTTGGGGTCTGGCACTGGACTGGGAAGAGGGCTGGGGACAGGGAAGGGGTGGCACCGGGAGGGGCCAGGGGACACACTGAGGGTCCTGTGCCCGCAGGGGCGCTGGGCATCATGTTGGGGTGCTGCTACCGGCTGAGCTGCGTCGCCTTCCTGTGCCCGTACTGGTACCTGTTCCTGCTGGACAAAACCTCCTGGAACAACCACTCCTACCTCTACGGGCTGCTGGGCTTCCAGCTGGCACTGCTGGGCGCTGACCGCTACGGGTGGGCACCTGGGGGGACGGGGGGGCACTGGGGACCCCGGGTCAGGGGCTCTATGTGGCAGCAGGGTGGGTGACCCCAAGTGACACAGGGCCTGGGGGTCCCCGTGGGGTGGCCCCCAGAGGTTGTGAGGTCCCCTGTGGCACCAGGGCCCCAGCAGGGTGGCCCAGACCCTGAGGTGCCCTCTGGCACCAGGGTCCTCATGGTGCGTGTGCTCAGGGGGTGTCCCCATGGGGTGGCACAGGCTCTGGGGTCCCCCATGGTTTTGGTGTCCCTAAGCGGGTGGCACGGGTCGTGGGGTCCCCTGTGACAGCAGGTTCCCTGTGGCACAGAGTCCCCCAGGGGGTGGCTCAGGCCATGGTGTCCCCAGTGGGTGGCACAGGACCTAGCACCAGGGTCCCCACGGGGTATCCCTGTGGCTCTCTGTCCCTGTGAGGTGGTAGCACATGTTCCCACAGCTCTGGCAGTGGGGTGACAGTGACCTGGCCCCCGCTCTGTCCCCGGTGTCCCCCCAGGTCCGTGGATGGGCTGTTCCGTCCCCGCAAGCACAACGCCCACGTCCCGCTGTGGAACTACGCCCTGCTGCGTGCCCAGGTGAGTGCCCCTGCCCCAGGGACCCCCAGAGTCCCCCCCCGGGCCCCCTCTGGGATCCTCTGGACCCCTTGACTCCCCCTGACCCTGTGCCCCCCAGGTGTTCATCGTGTACTTCATCGCGGGGCTGAAGAAGCTGGACGGGGACTGGGTCGGGGGGTTCTCCATGGGCTCCCTCGCCCGGCACTGGCTCTTCTCCCCCTTCAGGTCTGGGGGGCACAGGGGGGTGGGCAAGGGACAGGGATGGGGACAGGCTGGGGGTGAGGAGTGGGAAGGGAGTTGATGGGGTCGAGGTGAGGATGAGGAGGGTGATGGGGCTGGGGTCAGGGTTTGGAGGGTGATGGGGCTGGGGTTTGGATGAGGATGAGGATGGTGAGGTAGGTTGATGGGGTCGGGGTGAGGATGAGGAGGGTGAGGTAGGTTGATGGGGTCAGGGTGAGGATGAGGAGGGTGACAAGGGGGCAATGGGGATGCATTGGAGATGAGGGGTTCAGGGTGAGGATGAGGAGGGTGTGACAGACAGGGTGAGGAGGAGGAGGGGGGCAGGGTGAAGATGAGTGTCAGAGGGATGGGTTAAGGGTGAGGGTGAGGAGGGGGTTGGGGATGAGGATGGGCCACAAAGTCAGAGAGAAGATGAGGATGGGATGAGGAAGGCAATGGGGTGATAGGTCTGAGTTGAGAAGTGGGACAGGGACAGGGTGAGGAAGGTGAGGGAGTGACAGGCAGGGTGAGGATGAGGAGGGTGAGGGTGTCGGAGTGAGGAAAGGGAGGATGAGGAGGGTGACGGGGTGTCAGGGTGAGGCTGACACTGAGGAAGGCTCTGTGCCCAGGCTGGTTCTGTCGGAGGAGCTGACCAGCCTGCTAGTGGTGCATGGTGGGGGGCTGGTGCTCGACCTCTCTGCGGGTTTCCTGCTCTTCTTCGACGCCACACGGCCCCTCGCCCTCGTCTTCGTCACCTACTTCCACTGCATGAACTCCCAGCTCTTCAGCATCGGTGAGAGGAGGGGGACATGGCACCCCCAGTACACCCCCAGCACCCCCAGCCAGAGCAGGGGCACCCTCCAGCCCCCAAAACACCCTGAGCCTGAGCAGGAGCACCTTCCCATCCCACAGAGCACTCCCAACCTGGGCCAAGGACCCCCCCGGGCACCCCCAACCTGGGCAGGGGCTTCCACTCACCCTATCACCCTCCTAGAGCACCCTCAGCCAGG